GTATGCATGTACTCAGTTGGATGATGTCAGTGATTTACTTTGAAATGCACCAAAACTAGGATGCCTAAAAGGACAGCAAGAAGGATGGACAGATGGATAGCTATCAAGCAAGCACAGTCAGCCTTCTGTATTCAGACAACCACAGATTAGAAATACTCAGGGGAAAAAATTGCTCCTAAATAGTAATTAAATGGTCAAAGCAATCCCACAAAGACTTACGAAGGGAGCAAAAAGTGCTATTTACATAGCATTTACATTGTACTATATAAGTAGTCTAGAGATGATTTAAAGTATATGTAAGGATGTGTGTACGTAGGTTATACGCAAATACTATATGCCCTTTTATGTAAGGGCCCCAGGCATCCTCAGATTTTGGTATCCACAGGGGGTCCTAGAACCAATCTGTGTCGGACACCAAAAGACACTATATAATTAAAGGCTAATGATGGAATCTAGGTGGTAGCATATAGGTTTATACTATAAAAATTTTTTCCACTTAGCTATATGCTTGAAATTTTCTTAACAAAATGTTGGGGGCAATAGTTTTAAATAAAAACAATTAAAATAGTTTAAATTCTAACATGCAAACCTACAATATGACAGGATTTGCACCCTTTCACAAGTATAAAGGTAGGATAATTTATCTAATTAAAACAAGTCAAGACACAGGTAAAATTTAATAGCAAACCAAACCTGGCCCCAGGCAAGGCTTCCCACCCCAACTTTAATGATCTCTCCTGGAATTGAGTTGGTCTGTCCTTTCTAGTACTCTTATCCCTCTTTGCCAACGAAAATTTAAGTAATACAGATAGTGGATTTAAGACTTCCCAGCCATTTTGTGCCAGACTTCATTAACTACCTGGTAACCACATGAATACAGTATTTGGACAGAACTCTAGTTCTACAGCAGCTTGTGGCAGTTTATGATTTCTGTGCAGCCTCATTCATATTTCTGTCAAATCATTCATTCATTAAAAAACTGCTGAGTATCTATTATGTGCTCTGTTCTCAAGAGGCTTACAATCTGGTATGGCAAACAGAGCAGTAAGCCATCACAGTGCATGGTGTGCTAAAAGACAGGCATTATTATATGCACTGTCAACAGATCTTTAAGGAAGCATGATTTTTTGCAATTTTATAGATGAGATTAAATAAAGCTTAACTTGCTCCTAACCACCCAGTTTAATGGAGAACTCAGGATCTGAGTTTACGAAGCCTAACTCCAGAGCCCATACTCTCAACTACATTATCCTTAACTACTGTTGTTGTTAGGTGCCATCAAGTCCTTTTTAGCTTTATTTTGGTAAATACTGTGGAACAGCTAACATTTCCCACTTCATCTTACCTTGTTAAATCCAAGCCAGAACTAGACAGCAGCAGAATCTCAGTAGGTAAGTTTTCTCTAGTTAGAGTAAGGCAATGACTACAGCTCATGCAACTTATTCAAGTCTCTCTGGCTCCAGGGCGAGCCGTAACAGAGATAGATGGCCACACAATTAAAAGGTTGGCAACCAAAACTGCAGACCACATATAAGTTCCCACCTTGAGAATATCATTTCCCCCATCACCAACTGCAAACCTTCCAAAGCAACAGTCTGACCATGAGATCCCTTTCATTCTTAGAACTGTCAACTGCAGAGCCCAGAAGAGTAACCCCCAACTCATCTCCATCCTTCTCCTCAAAACCCCATTACTCAGGGCTCTCCCTGAGGATGGCTGTGATCCCTTAACTAAGGACAAGTTCTCAGACCTAAGGCACCAAAAAGCTGGGGGCTCTGACAGGTATGAAGCATCAACTATATGCAGATACTTTCGGCGAGCTGCCTGTAGTGAATTATCCATAGCTCACACTGGGGCATGCTCAGCCAGCCCTCTCCTCTGCATGCACTTTAGCTCCCCACCACACAATGTTTTAAGTTACTACTGAAAAATAAAATTTTCATGTTGTGTCACATGCCGTTGTTGTTGCTGTTGTCAGGTGCCATTGAGTCGTTTCCGACTCATAGCAACCCCAAGTACAGCAGAACGAAACACTGCCCGATCCTGCACCGATGCCGTCATACATCCATTTAAGTTACTTAAATGACACCTAAAATCTTCTCAATCTACTCAAAATGACCAATCCCTGACCTAGAACCTGGTAGGACTGCCTGTATCCAGTTCATGAATGTTCACAGCATCACCTAGGTTCAGATACACAGCTGCTTCCGGGACCAAATCATACAGCAAACAGTCATGGTGGGAGTGGTCCCAGTCTCGCCATGTACTGGTGGCTGCCTGGGACCAGGTGGATACTTTTACTCAGGTCTCTTCTGTCCCTGCTGAGGAAAATCACAAAAGACTTCCAAGCTGCTTGATTTAAAGTCTCCATTTATTTTTTCTTTCTTTTTTTTTTTTTTACAAAAATCCAACGTAACACCATTGTGCTCATGATTGGAAAAAGGGTGGGTTGGATGGATGTGGCACGGATATCAAAGAGCTTCCCCCTTCAAAACATTAGCCTTTCAAACCAAGAGCTCCCTGAGCACACACCCAGGCAGCTGCTGGATGGACTGCTCCTACTCCCAGGCAGGACCCCATCGGCTCAGTGAACAGGCTAGGGCTTGAGGTACAGTCCACACAAGACACAGAACCGCTGCCAGGGGCCTGAAAGCTCAGAATGTCATGAGGAGAATCTTGGGGAGGCTACAGCTTAGGTGGATGATCCTCACGGTGAAAAGCAAACTGGCTAATTAGAGAACAATGATGTGTCTGGGCCCTAGGAACAAGAGGTAACAAGAAGTCTTCTCCCCTATGTACAGCCAAGGAAATCCACGTGGGACAGCAGAGCTGTTCTCTTATTTCAGGTGAGTCACAGTTCGGTACAGGTGACATATGGGTTTTCCATTGTGATCAGCATCAATGGCATTCTAAACACGGTACTGTGACTCACCTTAACCCAGCTGGAGAAAGCAGCAGTCATTCTTCAGGGGCACTTAATCAATCACCATGCAATGTCTGACTGCTCAGCCTCTCACTACTGAGGAGTGTCCTTTAAGAGCATGGGCCAGTGTCCCTAGAGCCTGTTGGGAGTCCTTCAAATCAGTGTTCCTTTCAGACCCAAACAGTGCTATCCTCACATTACAACCCTACCTGCAGCACACTTTTATGTCTCAGACCCTTCAGCTTTTCATGAATCTACCAATAACATCAAGGATGCAGCAAGTGGGCTCCACTTAAAGGATCCTAACATACAGATCCTTTCCTGCCAGGTCCCACTGAAAGTCAGTATTTGAGTTCCTCACATTAAAATAACCAAAATAAAATAGCAGCCACATATATAGCTCAAAACACCACTCTTTGGCTCCCTCAAAGGATCAGAAGACTGCTAAAAAGAACAAATTCAGAAGTCAAGGAAAAAGTAACTAGAAAGTTAGGACGCAGAAGTCTGGACCTTTTGGCTGGGTTGCTGAGATGTACGATCAACTTTTGTAGGCAGCTGCCTCCGGCAGGAGAGCTAAAAGAAGATGCCAGTGGAAACCTTGGGACCAACACAACTCCTGGGAGCAGTCCTGTTCCTGTTTGCTGATGAGGAGTTCTTGTCAGCCAAGCTAGCCACAGAGTTGGATAGTAGCTATAGCAAAAAGCCTGGCTTCAAAAAAAATGGTACTTCAACAACATCCATTTGGTACGGGCAGGTCAGAGGAAAATGTATCCCCCAAGACACAGAAGCACAGGATGTCAAGGTCCAGGGAAGACAGAACTGGCTTAAGGCATGTGCTTGACCAGGACAGACCTGAGCTTTTTGTTTAGCTACTGTCAACTTTCTGTGCTCAATTTCATTTGAAGAAATTGGGCTTTGGAAAAATGGTAGAAATCATGTGCTAAATCCCTTAAAAAGACCACTAATTCTCTGTTTGACTCCCCTACCACCAACAACAAAAAATGAGCTTATTTCCATTTCAATCCAAGTAACAGAAATGTAAACCAGGAGTGGAACGTAGCAAATGTGAGGTGAAAATTAATGTTAAATTGTAAGATTGGATTTGAGTGTGTCTAGCAAATCACATCATCTCATATTTTTCTAGCACACATCAAACCTCAGGAGGTCCTGGGCCAACCTGGCATTAGAAGTCCAAAAACTACAGGTAACATAGGATGTCGGTCCAGACAAAGGTGAAGAAGAAGGTGAATTTCACCAAAGTATTAATACCAAGGCAGGTGCCTTGCTGTAGGACTTCCCGGCCAGCCGGGTGGGGATCCTCAAATGATGCTTGCTTGTTCTACACCAGAGAGTAAGCCAACCTACAAGCCACTTCAGACCACAGTTTTCCTATCCTCTTATCCAACAGATGAAACCCTGAAGCCAAACTGCAATCTATTTTCAAACAGGAAAGCAGAACAAAAAATGTCATCTGAGAGTGCTGTCTTTAGGCCTTACTCTTTCCTCATTCTTTGCTTCCTCATTCTCTTCCACACAAGGTAGAGAATGGGAACACAGGGTAAGTAATGGGACAAGCAGTACCTAATGGTGAATCCTCAAAACTACTAAATCCAGCAAAAGGAAATTCAGCTGCTCACAAAGGTATGATCCTTCCCAAAGATTCAGAGGAGAGAATCTGAGTTAGAGACTTCTGATTAGCAACAGAAAGAGCAAAGGAACTCAACAGATCTTATCTCGTCCAAGGTACCACATGAGGGCCAAGTCCATCCCTTTCTTATTTCTACACACAGATACCCCTGGGGAAGATGGAAGATGACTTTTAAAGATAAGCCAGGTCACACAAGGCTAGAATCTATCTCTGTTGAAATTTAGAACATAAGGAGCCTGGTGGGTCCCTCACTTAGTGAAACAGGCAAAATTTTCAAACTCTAACCCCTCCAAAAAATAAAAAATACGTATATGTATATGTATGAGAGTGTGTGTGTGCATACATGTGTATAAGTATATATATGCACACACACAAACACACACACACATATATATAAATAAGCCTCAATGGCAAATCTGAATTTTTTTCTTTTTAAATAATAATAATAGTTGTTATTGAATTTAAAAATCACAAACCAGCCGTCCTGGGCTTATGACTAAGTGAGTGACTATCCAGAGTCCCCATGGTCCTCAGTGTAAGCTATCAGTCAGTGCCCTGTATCGGGAAGCCCAGTGCCTTCTGACCAGGGATCCAGTGGGAGCAGTTCAGAACCTGCCTAGGCCCAGTGTGGCTGACTTCATGATAAAGGCAGCTATTTCTTTTCTACTCCTCCTGCCAAACTCTCAGCAGCAGGTCTGGGCCACCCACCCAGCAGATGTCCCCAAGGTCCTTCAACACCTAGGAACCTTAGGAGCCATCTTCCTCTCTCGGCCTATCCCTCTCCCCAAAACTTGCAATTCCCCTAGATGAACTTGAAGCACTTGGTCTTGTCATGAGGAAGGCGAGTTTTAAAGAGTACAGAGTCCACCCTGAATTGAGTGTACAATAGGGGCATATAGCCATACACCTTCACAAAAAAGTTGATACATTTGTGCCGCTCATGAAAGTGGGAGTCATCATGTGACAGGGCCTGAGGGCATCCTGGGCATCTGAAAGTCCATCGCGAAGTCACCTGTAAAAAGAGAAGAAAGATTACAGAGTGAGAATCGTGGGTGCGAATAACCGCAGAATCTTTGCAGCTTAACCACATCAATGTTTTCATTTCCATTTCCACATTGAAGACACTAAAGCCTTGTGGCTACATGAACTCACAAAGTGAGTTCAGGCAAAGCCAGACCACCAGCCCAGGGCTCTCTTCCTACCATGTATATAACACTTAAGCACAAAGCTCCTCATTTCACCAATCTTTTAAACAGCAAAATATTGCAAAGTTACCAATCAAAAAGGGACTAGTTAAATAATTATAAAATAATAAATAATTATAAAATATCTATTAAAAAGGATGCTTAACAAAGTTATATGTAAAGATACGGGAAAGCAGTCATATTATAATACAGTCTATTGTTACTAATATTATTACCATTCTAAGGAAATTTCAAGCAACTAGAGAAGTATTAATAATAATAAAATCAGAGATAGAACAAGATGGTGAAGTGAATGAAAGCTCCAAATTACTCCCCCAACAACTAATGCAATGAACAATGAATAAAATCAAACACAAACTGAGATCTCAGAACTCCATACAGCAGCTGAGGTGGACAGTCAGGGTGAGACCAGAAGCAGGAGGAAGAAAGGAGACAACACAGAAGCTGAGAGAACCTGCCCACTAACACTGGGAGCACGCCAAACAGGGAACACAGAAAAAGAGCTAATCAGAGGAAGCTATAGCCCAATTTTTTTAAAAGAAGCACAAAGTGGCTGTGGGAGTTTGTGGCCCATGCAACTGGGAGGCAGTGAAGAGAAACCACGGCACTGCAAGAAGAATGCTGTTCAATCTTGCTGAGGCCCAAGAGAGCCAAGCACTAGAACTGAAAGAAACATGAAGGACTGCAGGGCGAAGAGTACTTCAGACTGATGAGGCAAATGACACAAAGGGAAAGGGCTACAGTAGGACACCGTGGACAAGCCTGTTCAGGGACAGTGTGAGAAAAAACAGAGAACTCTGACAGTCACCCCAGAAAAGTCAAGCCCCACCATCTGAGAGCAGCTAAGCCCCCTACACCTGTGTATTTATACTGAATTCCAGAAATTAAGGATCCACAACTTCTTCCTGATAAGCACTGGGAAAAAAAAAAAAAAAAAAAAAAAAAAACCTAAGGATAAGAGTGCCCTCTAGTGATTCTCAGGAGAAAACACCAAGCCCACTGCCAACTGGGTTGATTCTAGCTCATAATATGTTGTTGTGCCACCGAGTCGGCCCCGACTCATAGCGACCCCTTCTTGCGTTTCCGAGGCAGTATCACTATGGAAGTAGATTGCCCCATCTTCCTTCCAAGGAGTGGCTGGTGGGTTTGAACCACCAGCCTTCTGGCTCATAATATAACTACCCTGTTATGCTGAGTGGAGCTACCCCATGGGCTCCCAGGGCTGTGAGTCTTTGCAGAGGAAGGTTGCCACATCTTTGTCCCAAGGAGTGGCTGATGGGTGTGGGTCTCAATCTTTACACTGGCAACTAGGCTCCTGACCCCTACGCTACAAGGGCATCCAATCAGAAGATTTTCCCACAAAAACAAGAATATAAAATTTAAAGCAAAAACAATAAAAAGATAACAAAGTGGCTCAAGTCCAACAAAAGTAGTAAAACACACAAAAGGACAAAAGAAGGACCAGTCAAAAGCAAAAACTGAAGAAGAAGAAATTTCTCCTCTGGAAGGCAGAATATTGCAATGAAGTGTTAATTTTCAGACTATGGTGCTAAATGTGTTTGAGGAAAGTAAAACACACAAAGAAAAGACCCAGCAGAGATCAGGAAACAAAGGGAAGAACAAAATGAGACTCAGTATCAAAACTGAAAATATCACACACAAAAACAAGAGAACTAATGGAACTGAAGAATAAAACAACTCAACTGGAAAAAGAGAAATATTCAACAATAGGTTAAACAGATAGAAGACAGAATAAATGAACTAAAAGACAAAATAAATGAGTTTATTAAGTCTCAAGAGAAATGAACAAAGAAAAGGGAATGAATCCAAAAGGAAATGTGGGATTCAATTAAGAAATCTAACATTAGAATTATTGGAATCCCAGAGCACCATGACAGAAAATAAAGGCATAAAAACGATTTTCCAAAAGATAACGAGAATTTCCCAGTTCTGAACAGAGAACAAAGGCTGTAAATACAGGAAGTTACAAGAACCCCAATTAAAAGAGGCACAGAAAGACCAAATCCATACTATATTCTAATAAAATCTTTGAAAATCAAAGACAAGGATAGACTTCTGAAAGCAGCAAGAGAAAAATGCATTAAAACATACCAGGGGTCTTTCATAAAAATCAGTGAGGCTCTCTCCCCAGAAACTCTACAGGCCAGAAGACAATGGTGCGACATAAATAAAATAAAGCAAGCAACTAGCAAACCAATAATTCTTTACCCAGCAAAGTTGTCACTGAAAAATGAGGGGTAAATCAAGACATTCCCAAACAAACAGAAGTTCTGGGAATTTGCCACAACCAGACCAGCTCTGTAAGTATTATTCAAGGGAGTACTCCAAATGGAAAGGAAGGAGCATTAAATAGATTGTTTCTATACATGAGAAAAATAAAAAAATATGAGAGAGATCTCCAAAACATGCAACATAGACAATCATAAGAACCAAGGATATGGTACTTTCAGGAAAAAAAAAACTCAGTAATTAAATCCTACAAACAATATAACATCAATTTTATAAGAAATATGTACAAAGTAAATTTATCAAATACATATTATATATTGTTAATGGAAACATATCAACAGAAATGGGGGAAGGAGGAGCATCAGGATTGATTCATTATATTAAGATTGCATTTGACTGCTAACCAGAAGTCTGGCAGTTCAAACCCACCAGCCACTCCTTGAAAGGATGATTGGGCAATCTATTTCCGTAGTGATACCGCCCCAGGAACCCAAGGAGGGGTTACTGTATTATTATTATTATTAAGATTGTATGTTAACTGTTGTTCATATGTTAAACACTGTTGTAATTTTAAGTTGTGCAATGAAACATATTGGTAACCACAGAAACAGAAAAAAAAAAAAAAAAGTACAAAACATTCAAAAAACAAATAGCAAAATGAGTGAGGTAGACTCTTCCCTTTCAGTAAGAATCTTAAATAAATAGTCTAAGTGCCCCATGTAAAAGGCAGACTAGCAGAATGGATTAATAAAACATGGTCCATTCTTTTGTTGTCTATAAGAAACAGATCTTAGTTATAGGACACAAACAGACTGAAAACAAAGGGATGGAGAAAAATATTCCATGCAGCCAGTAAACAAAAAAGAGCAGGGGTGGCCACACTGACAGATAAATAGACTTCAAATCAAAATCTATTACAAGAGACAAAGAAGAGCATTACATAATAATAAATGGGTCAATCCACCAAGATGACAAAATAAATTATATATTCACCTAACAGCAATGCACCAAACTACATGAAACAAATACTGACCAATACAAAAGAAGAAATAGATAACTTCACAATAATAGTACCAAAAGCTAGTGACCAACATACAAGAGGTACAGACAACAAACATGAACACCATTACATATACAATACTGCATTATCAGTAATAAAAACATTAATCTATAGGTAGCTACACAGGTAGACAAGCTGAATGATTGGGTATGTCCAGAAAAAAGAGAATATACCCATGACCATGTATAAAGTTGGCAGACAATACTTCTACATACATATTTGTATGTGCTCTAAGAATGTCCATATAAATAGAATTAACAGGGGGCAAAGTTATGATAACTTCTTAGCCACACACCTTGAAAGAGCAAGTAGTTGGACCTGTGGGCTAGGGACTATGGTCTCATGGGACATCGAGGTCAACTGGCATAACATACTACACAAAAACAGTTCTACATCCTACTTTGATGAGTAACGAGTAGGGTCTTAAAAGCTTGCAAGCAGCCATCTAGATGCAATAATAGGTCTCTCCTCATCCAAAGCAAAGAAGAATGAAGAAAACCAAAGACACACAGAAACAATTAGTCCAAGGTTTGCCATGTAGGCAAACCTCAGCCTACATGATCATGAGACCAGAAGAACTAGATGGTATCTGGCTACCATTGGCAACCATTCGGAATGGGATCAGTGTAAGAGATCCTAGATTGAGTGGAACAAAAATGTGGAACAAAACTCAAAATCATAAAATAAAATTTAAAAAAAAAAAAAAAAACAGGCTTATTGGTCTGACAGAGACTGGTAAAATCCCTAAAACTATGGCCACCAGTCACCCTTTGGGCCTAGAACCAAACTCACTCCATGGCTTCCAGCCAAACAAACAGGCATATAGGGTGAACACCAGGTAGGTATACTCTTTAGAAAAATCATGGAGATCAGAAGGACAGTATTTGCACAGGGAGATAGGCCAGAGGGCAGGAATGCAAAGGAAAGGACACAGGGAAAAGGTAACCACATGGAGGAAGTGGGAATAGAGTGGTTATAATATGGGGATTGCAACCAATGTCATGAAACAAAATGTGTATGAACTGCTGTATGAATGTTCTGTAAACTTTAACACACCATGTTCAGTTACAGACAGAACATCCAAAAAGATCACTAAGGACATTGAGAAATAAATATAATAATATAAATATTATAATATAAAGTATAAATATAAATATTATAATATAAAGTATAAATATAAATATTATAATATAAAGTATAAATATAAATATTATAATATAAAGTATAAATATATATATATATATATATATATATATATATATATATAAAGCACTATATTTACATTATAAAACATATGAAAAAGAATAAAGTAACAAATAAATAGAAGTTTAAACATTTACTTAACCAATACTGTGAATTATATTTTACATGAAAACATTCCAGGTAAATCTATCTGACCAAAAGAAATATTAGTGCTCTCCTTAGTAACAGTAAGGAAAATCCTTAACAGATATTGAGAGCCTATATTACAACAGAGAATTAAGATGTTTGTTTCCTCTCTCTACTTCCTTTTCACTTAAGCCACCTATCTTCTCAATGCTTTCTACTGTGCTTTTAATCCTTTATCCTGAATAAAACCTCTATTAATTCTAGCTCTTTTTCTTCCTCTCAAAATTATCATTATAAAATGCAATAATACATTAACTCTTTCTTTATTCAATATTGTTAAGATATTAACATTATTAAAAGAACACTAATAGTCATATAAAGCAGTCAAACCTTTCTAACTATCCAGGAAGAGAAGAGTTTGACAGTGATATTCTGAGGTATTTAAAGCAGAGCTCTGCACTGGTTTGAAAATGGCCAACAGAAACAAGGTAGCATATATATCACACAGAAAGCAAATCTCTTGATTTTGACCCAAGTAGGAAACAGGCAGTGGTGCCTCACTCAAAGATGCAGCCAACTGTGCTGCTCTGAATGTGTATTACTCTCCACAGTCTTGCCAATAATGCAATCTCCTATATGACACAACTTTTTCAGTATCTGCTGCACTGCCTGTTTCCTGCTTATGTCAAAATTTAACCAGCAAGAGATTTGTTTGCTACGTAACACATACGGTGCCCTTGTTTCCATCAGCCATGACTGAACCATCTCCAGTTCAAAGCAAAAAAAAAAATACATAAAACAAAATACAATATAAAAACATAAAGTAATACATATATCTGATACTATTAATGTTAGGTAAAGAAACAAATAATATACTATGAAGAAAATAATTCAATTCAGAATCTGCAGGAATTAACTCAGAATTTGAAGTCATTCATTTATTGAGCCTTTAATTTTAAAGTTATCCCTATTTTAAATTCTTCTATTTCAGTAAGACTGAGAAAATTCACAGAGGATATATATTTTTGAAGTTTTCACTTGGTAACAATCATGTATACCATGTCCAAATTATTTCTATCTCATTCTCTACACTGAAGAGATGGTTTAGCTAATGAAACACTAGTCTAATAATACAGAAGAGAAATGTATTTTAATGAAGATGAAAGATTGATCATGTCTGTGAGTGGTTCAGGTAACTGATGCTGTTATTAAGTAATCACTCAGGTACTTTAAATTTTCATGAAGTAATGTTTTCTGTTCTACTAAGAAGGCATAAATAGAAGCATGCATACAAGAAAAAGTTCAGTACCTGGCTACATAAGAAAAGACAAAGAAAGAATAGAAAGTTGTACCAATCATTAATTTCCTTCTCACTAATTAGACCTTTGCCTCCCTACCTTACAGTTTACAAAGAATTATGCTTTTTATTTTCTAATATTGGATCTACCACTATACTCAAAAAACACACTATTTTCATATAAATAGTTCTTACTATTATTATTCAAAGTAAAACAAAGAAGATAATGTCATGCATTATTTTGCTAATTATTCTTCTTTTGTGAGATTTTAGCAGAAGTTTCAGAAACAAAAGAAACTATGGAGTAATCAGGAGTTCAGTTATAACCCTGGGAAAAGGTTCCAGCTATAAATATAAATGGATGTAATAGATATAAATGGATCCATAAGGCCCCTAAATGGTTTTTTTTCCTAATTATGATGTGCTTTGTTGTATAGAACCAGTGTCCTGATTACCACTCTGCTGATCACTGAAGACATAATTTGATTACAGTTTATCAGTACATGCTGGTGGTTACTTAGTCTAGAACTTATCTTCAAAAATAGAAGAAAAATAAAACATGCAATTATTATTTACATGGTATTAATAACAACTATAAAGGCAAACTTACTGTTTTATAAAATTAACATGCCTTTTTATCAATAATGAAAATAGAACCTCAATAGTTTGCTGGCCTTTCTAAGGACAATAGGTTTGAATCATGACATAAACATTGGACAGACCACATTCAAAAATATTACTTTGAGTTGACAAACAAGTTCTCTAATATTAATTGCTACAAAGCCCTTATCAGATCTAAGGTCAGCTTCTGTAAGGGCTAATGCTATCCTAACCCCTTACAAAATGTTTTAATTTGCTACCTGAACCTACAATGATGACAGAAAGGGTTATGGAGCTGGTCTTTCTGTGCCATGTGACGCTAGTATATTCTAACCCACACCTATTAAGAAACTCCAAAAACTGAACCCAAATTTCTAGAATTGAAGGTAATTTTGTTTTTGAGCAAGTACCTTGTATAGTACTTACTTATGTACACTTATGAAGTGAAGCCCGATTCATAATTGAAGGAAATGCTAACTTCCAGTTAGAAATTAGTGAAAAAACAGGAGCAACACTTTCCCTATCCAAGTTACCAACACTCTGACATCTTTTCATTGACACTTTTGGGGAGAAGAGACACTGCATTAACAATTCATTGAACACTAACAGCAATTCCATCAAGTAGGTGGTTATCATTATCCCATTTTACAGATGAAGATTCTGAGGTATAATGCAGTTAAGTACTGTGCTACTGTAAAATAAGTGAATTAAGTATGCATGCATCCACAGTCCTATCACTAATGGGTCCCTCACCTTGATAGGAGGTTTCCGAGTGATGTGGGAGACAAGGAAGTTCATGGCAATGTCCTCACAGTTAATGTATTCATCCACCATATCTCGGATGGCCTGGGGCATCACGTAAGAATACAGGTAGGCATAATACTGTTGGAAAGAAAAGAAATCACTAATTTATTAGAGGCCACAGTTCTTTGGCTTTCAGCAAAAATATGCACATATCTAGAGGCTGTTGGAAGTGTGTGGGGTACTTCCGGTGTGATAATAACTAGCATTTAAAGAGTTGGAGCTGGGATGCTAACACTGTGCAATGCAGATCTTTTAGAATGAAAAATTATTCCATTCAAATTGTCATCGTCATTGCCTCTGAGAGAAAAGAAATTCATTTAGCCTCCTTGGTGCCTCAGTCATTTTTGCAATCAGTATAAAGATGTCAAATTAGGTCAGACACTGGTTTGGCTGAGCAATATTCTCTGACAATGGAAATAAAGCACCGTGAAGGGGATGTTATCTTCCATAGTACCATAAAACATTCACTCCTTTAATAGCTCACATATAGATTTTAAAATTTGCTTCCTTCTTACCATCGCCACTGGCTACTCCCTGCTCCATACCCCCTTCATCTAGATTATCAACACAGTCTCCTATATCATCTCCTTGCTGCTATATATTCTTCCCTACAGCCTATTCTCAGCACAGCAGAGTGATCATGTTAAAAACACAAGTCCAATTGAGTATGTCACTCTTTAATCCAAACTTTCTCTGATGGTTTCTTACTTCATTAAAAAATAAAAGTCAGAATCCTTAAAATGCCTTATAAGGCCCCACAAAGTGATGTGCTAGAGCCAACTCATACCTGTTAACGAAAACCAATTGCTAAATTTTCAGGAATGTTATGAGAGCTGGTTACTAAATATCATTATTAAAATTTTCATTATATAAGCTTAATATTAGTTATATTAAAAACAAAGTACCTAAAAATCATCACTTTCTAATTAATTTATTACATTTTTCTATTATCTATGTTCCTGAAGTTATTTATGTATCTGTATGATGAAAACACGATGTAATGGTGTGCTACAGTGCATCTTTTCCCAAATTCATGTTCAGTGACTCATGTTGGTAACTTAAAATGAGCCATGGTAAAAATATTAACACCACAGAAATTAGTAAATACTACAAAACAGAGCACCTGTTAATCGCAATGTGTTGCAATATGCTGAAGCTGAACAAATAGGTGAGAGGCTCAATTAAACTAATATATTCTATTACTTTAATAGTAGAATCTATGTAGTGAAAATAATGAATGGCCATGAAATTCTTCTATCACACAAAGGGGTTTGCTGGTTATCTTGTAGTAGACTTGGTGACCTTAAAAGATGAATTACATACTTTTTTCTTCACAAAAAGCCAGCTGATCCAAATATGCTGATCTTTTGTTAAATGGCAAGTAACTGTCATTAGGATGTAAATAAACACATTTTAAAGTAAACACAATCTTTATTTCAAGATAAAGCACAGCAATAAGGTCTTCCAGGAACAGTGACTAAAACCAAGTGTCAAAAATAAGTTTCATTTAAAAACAGACCTTTGACTTAACAACTTACATAGTGTTCAATCAAGATTTTAAAAAACAGTGAAGCATATGCAATCATACTGCTTTCACTAAAATTTAAAAATTTAGTGAGACTATCACTTTGAAACTTTGTTTCGTATTTTAAAATTTCTACAAGTATAGTTGTAAACTGACATATATAAAAATTACTTTTTTATTGGTATTTGCTGGAAATTTTTTATTGATAGGCACTTGACGGTTATAAATAGGGATCACCAACTTAATTGCTTTCAAGAGTCAAGTAAGTAAATTAGTGACATTTTTAAGAAATGAGTATAAGAAAACTAAGGCACAGTGCAGCAAATGAGATCATTTGTGTCCCATTTAGAGGGACCAGTGGTTTCTCAGCTCCAGCCAGGAACACTCCCTGCATGACTTTATTTTCACTGTTTTTTTGGTTTGTTGGTCCCACCCCACCACCAGATCTTCATGCAGAATATTCAGATTTTTCAACGCTGGCAGTGTGTGGGGCAATACTGTGAGGATCAAATATGCCTAAGAGGACATGAGGCTCAAGGATTATTAGATTTCCAAACAGAAAAATGTTAACTTTTATTGATTATTTATCACTTGAAAGTAAAGAAATCTGACTTGCAATTTTTAAAGAGCAATCAGAGAATTTGAGAAGGCAGGTCTTCAGAAGGTAAGTGTGATGGTTATGTCTGTGTGTCAACTTGGCTAGGCCTAACTGAGTGGCTGGGCAGCTAGTGGTAGTTATTCCCCATAATGAGACTGGCAATCAACTCCATAGTGGGATCTACCACAAGCAGTTGAGTGTTGAGTTGGGATGTGGTCTGCTTCCTGTATATAAGAAGCCTTGGGAATGGTCTCAAGCATATGGCATGCTTGGACCCTGCATGTAGCCATGTCATTGTTCAGCAGCCTGCCATGCTCTGCCGACCTTGGGATATACAATGGACTTGAATTAATGGCCTGCCATGTAGTTTGGTAACATGGGGACTGTGCCATTTTTACTTGTCAACCTTGGGCTTGGCAGCCTCAGCAGCCAGCAGCTGTCTGAGTGAATAAAAGCCTCTAGCTTCAGTGGGCAGGGAGCTGGAGGCAGAGCTGAAGCCAAAGGCAGAGGGGCTTTCACCCAGCCCCTAGAGCCTGGCACTTTGAACTTGGACTTAAGGCCTCCAAATTGTAAAAATAAACTTCTGTTTGTTAAGGCCATCCCATTTGTGGTGTATTTCCTGTCAGAGCAGTGCTAGGTAATCAGAACAGTTAAGTATGACTTGAGAATTATCATAACAAGGTATGAGTTGAGAATTATCAAGAAGTGTCATTGGTAAGCTACACCTTCCCTACAGTTGGGGAAATGAGTAGCCGTGGAGTCCCCAGGAATAGGCTAAAGGGAAAGTATCGTCCTTAGAGAAAAACAGAGGAGATAATCTAGGAAGTGGATGGTATAGGCAATTTGGTTACCTCAGAACAGTGGTTCTTCAGAGTAAGAAGTTACAGACCACCACCATGCAATCAGAATATAATGCAAGCCACGTATAGCATTTTAAATTTTCTAGCAATAACACTTAAAACAATGAAATTAATATTATTATTTTATTTAACCCAATATATTTAAAATATTAACATTTCAACATGCAATCACTATGAAAAACTTATTAATGAGTTATTTTACATTCTTTCTTTCATAGTAAGTTTTCAAAATCTGATATGTAGTTTGTATTTACAGAACATCTCAATTCTGCCAGTCTTATTTCAAATGCTCAACAGCCACACGTGGCTAGTGGCTATGATTTAGAATAGCACAAGTAGAGAGGGAGGATAGGTCAGAAGTGAAAAGTAGAGCAGTACAGAGATAACAATATAAGAGGAGTTATGAAGGCAAGCATTTGCATTTGGGATATTTAACGAAAATCAGGAGTAAGGCATGCCGAAAATAATCTCTAAGAATTCAAACAAAACTTATAGAGCCACAATGGACAAAAGCTCATGATGGTGCTTGAGCTAGTGGTGGTTTCAGGGTGACAGGTTCAGTCTGGGATGGCAAATGTTGAAACTGAAAGGTATTTGAGAGGCCTTTTAGCTCAATGCCCTTCACTTTATTATACAGAGAGAGCCAATGCCCAAAGATAAGTCAATTTTCCTAATTATCTTCATGCAATTGTAAAGGGAGCCATCAGATCCTGAATTTTTATTTGAGAATTACCCTAAGTATCACATTTACTGTCCTTCAAAATTGAAATAACTTACCTCTAGCGCAGACGGGACATATATATTAGCAGAGTTAACTTTGGGGCAGCATTAGACTATCACTGAAAGGCTGGAGTTATACCAAGTTGATGCCATTCTTACAAGCTTTTCCTTACCTTGTGAAAGAAGGCAGCACCTGTCAGCACCATGGACAGCTCACAGGAGTAGTTTGAATTGTAGAGCCAGGACTGATGAGGAATGTCCCATGCATGGTAACGGCCTGGGAAACCCACAATGCGATCCCGTGCTTCTCTCCACACCCTCAAACAACATAAATATATACATACGTCTGAATGTAAAGCACAAAGATTACCAGAAACTTTTAAAATCATTGCTTCTACCTTCGAGGCTCTGGCCCTTGGACGTTTTTTTTATTATTATTGAAAACAAAATCAACTGCAAGGCAATTTGGGTAACAATCAGTTTCCTTTAAATGTGACTGCTCTTTACTCCTCTAATTTTTAAGGCAGCCCAGTATCTCTCCAGCATTTATGGAAAAAAAATTCTGGCTAACGTGGGAAGTAACGAATAAGCAGGGGTCTCCAGAGTGAAGTATTACTAAGAGGCAGGAAAAAGACATAAAATTTTATTTCTAATTATTATTTTTATCTTATTTAATTTCTTTAAATTTTTTTAATGAACATGATGTATGAGTACAGTGTTGCTGTTGTTGTTGCTGCTATGTGCTGTCGAGTCGGACCCAACTCATAGCAACCCCTCCTTGGGTTTCCGAGGCAGAATCACTACGGAAGTAGATTGCCCCATCTTCCTTCCAAGGAGTGGCTGGTGGGTTTGAACCGCCAGCCTTCTGGTTAGCAGTCAAGTGCCTTAAGCACTATGCTACCAGAGCTCCCAAGAGTACAGTAGGACATATATATAATTCATGTACATTGTATATTTAACTTTTCTTTAATAAAAGGGTGTATGATCAAAAATGTTTAGAGACTGCTTGTCTAAACCACAAGAAATTATCATCTCCAGTAACATGCCACCAGTCCTAATCTCTGATTTTGACTAATGCAACATGCCAACAGTCCTAATCTCTGACTTTGACTAATGATAAAGGAGAAATATGTACCGTGAAAAGTGATTTACAGGACCAAACAAGTGAAAGATTCCAGTAAGCAGAAAAAATAAAGCAGAGACTTCAACATGTTTCCAGCAGAAACTTTTATATCATCCCCAAATTTATAGGTAAGGTAGAACATATGAAATCAGTCCCCTATTTTCACAGGCTAAAATCATCACACTAGAAAGCACTTACTTACACTCCAAAGAACCAGTTGCTACAGCCCTGCAGAAGTGCTTCAGCAGTTCCAAATAAAATGAAGTATCACCCTCACCTCACACTAACCCATCTCCAAATGAAGATTTAAACTACCTGAGCAACTCCTTCATTAATTACATGGAACTTCCGTTCAAAACAGTTCCTCTCCTAATAAGTATGAATACTACCAATTTAGAGAAATAGACGAGAAACCACAACTTTTTTTTTTTTAATTGTGATGTGGGTGCAGATTTACAAAGCAGAATCATTTTACTCTCAACAGTTCACACACATTTGGTTTCACAGCCTGATTACAATCCCATCAATAAAAAGCTCTCCTCCCGTCTCCTTCCTGTGACTGCCCCTTTCCCTGTGTCCTTATCTCTGCATTCCTCTCTGTCCAGCTTTCCCTCTATGCAAGTACTGCCCTTCTGATCTCTCATGTTGACTGATCTAAAGGGTGCATCTCCCTAGGGTAGGTGGGTACATCTCCCTGAGGTAAGTGTTCTGCTTGTAGGCTGAGAAACTACAACTTCTGTAACAATATCATAACTTCTGGATGGGCTTTCAGCCAGTCCTAACCAACTCTCTTCCTATATCCTAATTTATCTCCTAAAACTGACTCCAAATCCCTAATCTAAAAATCAGAATATATTTCAGAATATATTTTGACATTTACAGAATGCCAGAATTGCTAACATAGCAATGTCCTATCAGTCTTCTTATAGATACTGATTTCCTCAAATGCCTATTGCTCCTACCAATCCTGAAGTATCAACAGAAGAAAGGGAAATTTAATTTTTCAATCATCTGATTTGGCTATTTAAACCAATATAAAGTGTTGTTGTTATGTGCTGTTCAAGTCAATTTTTGACTCAGAGCAATTCCATGTGACAGAGTAGAATGGCCCCACAGGGTTTCCTAGGCTATATATAATCTTCACAGAAGCAGATCACCAGGTCTTTCACCCATGGAGCCTCTGAGTGGATTCAAACTGCCACATTTTACTTGGCAGCTGAGTGCTTAACCATTGTACCACCAGGGTACAGTCTCATTTGCTATACAATTTCAAAAGGTAACATATCCAATTTGTTAAAGGCTGTCAACCATGAGATGGTCAATTATCTATCAAACAATAAGGAAAAAAATCAATGTGGAAGCAAGTAATAAACCTATTTGAATAAAGGCAAAAATACATTCCTAGAAAAGATGCATCAAGAGTTTAGATAGCATACTCTCAGTGGAGATTTCAAAGCATTTAAACATACTAATTTTACACTATTCTTCTAATTTCCATATAAAATTGTTGTACATAACTTACTCAAACTTAAATATTTCTAACCTATGTTATGTTTTGACATACCTCACTTTTAATAAATTAGTCTTTGTGTTAGTGTTTTAATTATATTAGGAAAAAGAATCAAATCAAGTTATTACTCCACTAAAGAATTTGAATCAGGAGTAGTTCATATTCTTTGGTAACATTTCAAATGTAAATGCTATCACCTTTGAAGTAACTGCATCATTTCTACCTTTTCAATGAACTCTCGCACATCATTTATTACATCATTTCCACATTAGTACAGTCAGCTAAGTTAAAAAAAGAAGCTACTGACAGCCTAAATATTACATGTTTCAAATGAGAATGACACATTTTGTGCAAGTCTATGTGACTCAAGCAATTTTCTTCAAATGTATGAACTACCTCAATAAAATAAAAGCTCATTATCACTACTATTGGTTTATTTAAAACTGATTTTTTATCCTTCAAAATTTAGGCAAATGGTTTTAAATAAGTATCAGTAAATACATGAAGATATTATTGCACATTAAGTTAATATGGATGCAGCAACAAAATAAATAAAATTTAGAAGAAAAATAATATGGACTTTACTGTACAAGGAGACATCTATCTTTTTGTTTTTTTTTTTAAAAAAAAAAACCAGCTTCAACCACATCAACTCCAACTCATGGCAATGCCATGTGTGTCAGAGCAGTGCTAAGCTCCAGAGTGTTTTCAACGGCTAATTTTGTGGACACCTTTCTGCCAAGGTGTCTCTGGAAAGATTCCAATCTCCAACCACTCAGTTAGCAGCCAAGCACATTAACCATTTGCACCATCCATGGACTCCATGGTTGGTTTCTCAGTCTGCTTTATTTCCGTTTTTCCCTTTACAGATAATCTGAAAATCAATTTTAAAAATGTATAAATTGAGGGACACAATTCACATACCATAAAATTTACCCCTTTATAGCATACAATTCCATGACTTTTAATATATTCAGAGTTGTAAACTATCCTCACTATCTAAATTCAAAACATTTTCATCACCCCCAAAAAACCCCACACCCAGTAACAGTCACTCCTCCTAGCCCCTTGCATCTACTAATGTATTTTGTTTCCATGGATTTGTCCTGTTCTGACATTCCATATAGGCAGACTCATACAATAGAATCAGTGGCCTTTTGTATCTAGCTTCTTTCACTTAACATGTTTCAAATCCATGTGATAGCATGTATTAATACACATACTCCTTACTATCTCTTTATGTGACATTTCATTTTGTATTTATGGCAACAGTAAAACATCTACTACCCAATTATTTTGTGCTTATTGGCTATCTATCTGACATTTTATTTCATATTTAAGACAATAGTAAAAAATCTACTATTCAACTATTTTGTGCATTAACAATTTATGTCTGGCAGCAACTAACATCAAGGTGTGAGGCAAGAGTTAACACTAGCTGTGATGGTTAAGGTTATGTATCAACTTGGCTGGGCCATGATTCTCAGTGGTTTGGCAGTTATGTAATGATGTAGTCATCCTCCATTTTCACATAACATCAATTTTTGTGTAACAACCTGGTCTTTGGAACTTAACCACGTTGATAAGTGAGGAGTGGGTATACTTCATTTCTTCTTATTGCAAAATAATAATTCATTGTATGGATATAGCATTTTGTTTATCCATTCACCAATTCATAGATATTTGAGTTTCTTTATACTTTCGTACTATTTCTGTGCTTCTATAAACAGTCAGGAACTAGTTTTTGTATGGATCTATGTTTTCCAACATTTGGGCAGTATCTTTCTTTTTTCCTATCCCTTAAGGACATATCTACCACTTTCTTGGCTACAGAAATTGAAGTTAGCCAGATCTATATTAGCTTTGACCACAGGGAATATTTCTTCTTATGCCTGCCCTCTCCTTTTGAACCAAGGTCTGTTTCATTTCCATTTGGGTATAATAAGCAGATTGGAGCCATAAGAGAGTTTTTAGATCAAAGGATGCCCAAACTAGTAAGAAAAGAGTTAGGGTGATAAAAGGTTAGAATACACAGTCAGAGATAATTCACCAGTTCCAAAACCAGAGCTTAATCTCAAATTTCCATAATTAAGACATTAAAAGGCTTCCCATTAGTCTCTCATTACCTGTAAATCTGTTGACAAATGGCATGGAAAAGGTCAAAAGTCTTCCTAAATCGGGAGCCATAGAAGATAACCAATGCCTGTTATTTTAATAAATGTCAAGCTCCTTAAAGGTAGGATATCTTATCTAAATCATTCTTATGCTCTAGGAGCGATCAGGAATTCTTGTTAACACCCCATGACTCTGTTCATGGCTCCCAGTCCTTAGGAACACTGTATCAGAAATGTACACCCCACCTCTGACAATTGTGATGACACAGACTAGTTATAGAATTATTACATGGATTTTTTTCCTTTCATAAAAGTAAATGGCAACTAATGAGGGCATGCCAAAAAGACAGAAGACTAGTCTGAGGGGCTCTCAATAACAAATCTGTAATAATTTCAGTATAAAAATAAGTAGTATCAGTAACTGATTATAATAAACCTCATTTTTAAAAATCCATGCATCCATACACGTTTTGAAATACAATAAAAATTGGTAAAGAAAAAAAAAGTGAAGAGAATAGTTTATTATGATACAATGAAACATCCCCCAGTTTTTGTTTCTTTTTTTAAAATCACAGTTAACAATAAACGCTTGCTTAGAGAAGGTCAAAGGAAATATGAAAGGTTGGGTAGAGGAGAGGAAGAATAGGCACATTAATTTGTCAGAAATGTATCAAATCTCCTATAGATTGATTTACACAGAGAAAGCAAAAACTCTGTTGCTTCTTTCATCTGAACATCTGTACTTAAATACAGACCAAAAGAAGCCTGAGAGCTAGGGTCAGGTTAGGATTTTGGTGAATGGAATGAAAACAGAGAGAAAATAAATAATTCTCAATCACAAGTTCATATTTAATTTGAATAATACTCTATAGAAATCTATGCCAGTGCTTCTCAAACTATCTTTGGTGAAGAACTGATTTCCCAAAATTTATTGTGGATTAATAATTTCATAAAATATAATAAACATGAATTGCATGGTTTCATAGGTATGACATCAAAAGCACAAACCACCAAAGAAAACACATAAATTGGACTAAATCAAAATGAAGAATTTTTGTGCTTCAAAGGACACCATCGAAAAAGTGAAAAGATTAACTCACAGAATGGAAGAAAATATTAGCAAATTATTTATCTGATAAGGGACCTGATGTAGAATAAATAAAGAACTCTTACAACTCAATAATTAAAAAGACAGATAACCTAATTTTTTAAAATGGGCAAAAAATGTAATTGGACATTTCTCCAAAGATAAACAAATAGCCAGTAAGCACATAAAAGTATACTCAACGTCATCAGTCATCAGAGAAATGTAAATCACAATCACAATGAGCTACCATATGAAACAACTAGAACATCTTTCATCAAAAATTTAGATAACAAGAAGTAATGGTAAGGATGTAGAAAAATCAGAAACTCTCATACAGCTGCTGGGTATGTAAAATGGTCCAGCAGCTCTGGAAAACTGGTAGTTCCTCAAAATATTAAAATATTAACATTTGTGTATAAGCTTTTGTATAAACCTGTTTGTACTCCTAGGTATATAGTTGAGAGACTAAAAATATATGTTGCACATGAATGTTCATAACTGATTATTTCTAATAGTAAAAAAAGGAGAAACAGTCCCAATGTCCATCAACTAATGAATGGATAAACAAAACATATTATATCCATAGAACAGAGTAATCAGCGATAAAAAGGAATGAAGTACTGATACATGCTATAACACAGATGAACTTGGAAAACATTACCATACTTTTTACGCAAACAATGCCTGCATCCTACATTCTTTTCACATGTTGCTGTAAAAAAAAATTAGCATGGTGTACTTATGGGAATATGGGGGGAGGGAACGTAGTTGGCAAAAAAACACAGAACGTGTTATTTGTGTAAAAATATGGTATACTAAGTGAAAAGAGACAATCATAAAAGACCACAGATTATATGATCCATTTAGATATAATGTCTAGAATAAGCAAATCTAAGGAGACAAAAAGATTTATGGTTGCCTAGGCCTACGTGTTTGGGGAGAAATGGAGAGTGATTCCCATGAGTATGAGATTTTTTTAGGGGTGATAAAAATGCTCTAAAATTGATTGTGGTGAAGGTTTCACAACTCTGTGAATATACTAAAAACCAAAGAACGGGTAAATTCTATGGCATGTGAAATATATCTCAATAAAGATGCTACAAAAAAAATGAATTCCAAGAAAAATGATCACATACTTGGAAGTTAAATATCAAACCGCTTTAAGAAGTTTCTAAATGCTTACTCTCAATTTTTGTACTTACTTCACTGTGGACAGGTAACAAACTGTCCATGAAGTACCACAGCAGTCCATGGCACACTTAGAAGCCCTGATCTACTCCATCTGCTTATCTGAATGTGTCCTCAGTGGGATATTTAAGCCCAAATAATAACTACTACGATTTTTAAAAAAAAAAGATAGTTTAGCAGCTGATGTGAAGTTCTGGAGTAAGACAAAATTCTGCTTGAATCCCACCTCTGCTACTTACTTTCTATCTTCATGGCTCTGTTTTCTTGAATCTCAATATATTCAAATATAAAACACAAACAACTACTTCTTACATCATCAAGTTTCAGAAGGATTGAATAAGATAAACAGGCAAAATGCTCAGTTAGTCCCTGGCACACAGTATGGGTTCAACAAGTATTAAGCATCATCTTCATAATCACTATCACCACCTCTTCCTCTTTTTCTTCTTGGATCTTTACTTGCCCATCTTTCCCCAAGTCTTTTGAGCCTTAGGATTTTGGCAACATGCTGTTATCCCAAAATCTAGAAACATGTTGCTTCTGCCTGCCTGGGAGTTATTCCTCTTCCTCTACAAACAAAAATTCCTATTTCCTTTAGAGAACTACCACCTCTTTCCCCCACTCTCAGTCCACTTGGTTTGGGATTTGAGGATAATATACACCCAGCTCCAGGAGTAGGCAGGTACCTCCTGGAGCAGGTAGCCAGATAAACAACTTCATCTCGCTGGCTTCACAGGAAGCACCTATATGAGAACCAAGAGATGAAGATAAATGAAGTCCTTCAACATCAACCGAGACTTGGATCCAGCTATGCTCTAAATGACCCTTAGTAACTCTGAGGCTTTTCACTTACTATCAGTTAAGAAATTCATTTTGCTAATGAATTTCTAATCCTGGTTTGACTTAGTTTTGACTTAGTTTGACTTAGTTTTCCATCACTTGCAAATTAAATTATGTTTTGTTTGCAAATAAGTCCCTCACCGGAAGCCAAACATGATTTCATCATGGCGAAGATGAGCATCGTCATCAATAGAGAGGATGGCCTCTGTCTCAATTTCATTCCAGGGCAAGAATCGATTGTTCAAACTGTTCTTCTCAGTCCGGACCACCTGTAATGAGGAAGAAGGCAAAGAAAAACACCACTGAAAATCAATGCTGCATCAAGAATGCAGAACCAAACTGCCTTTAGTCAATGGAGGCTGTAGCTAAAGTCACTGATTAACTTTGCCTGATTAACTACTATTTGTAAAATCTACCATATGTCTTTCAGGGATAAAAAACTGGCCTTATCATTCAACAAATGTGTAAGAATAAATTACATTTTAAACTTTACTCATTCATTAACTAATTTTATTATGAAACAAGCTAAAGCCGAAGATTATCTTACGTATTTCGATAAATACAGTCCAGGAAAATTTTTTAAACTTTCCCAAGGGAACACAAGGTGGCAGAGCAGAACTGAGATTTTAATTCCTGGCTCCAGAATCTCCCTGCTAATGGTGCCTGGTCATAAACTTTAAACCAAACTCAGAAATCCCTTGGGTCCCCCATCCAATTGAGGTAAATTACTTCACTTTTGCAATTCCTACCCGTTACTGTGGACTACACATATAAAAGCCCCTCCCCCCCCCCCAAGGTGTACTTATTCAGTACAAATAAAAATTTCTGCGTCTACAGCAAATCCTAGGAGCTCTGGTAGCCTAGTGCCTAAGGCACCTGACTGCTGACCAGAAGGCTGGCAGTTCAAACCCACCAGCCACTCCTCGGAAGGAAGACTGCCTCGGTCGCTATGAGTCGGGTCCAACTCTATGGCACATAACAACAGCAGCAGCAAATCCTAATTCAAAGAACCTATACCTGAAGTGATCCATACATGCAAAGCTATAGTACTACATTACAACTAAAAATACAATTTCATGTGAACCATTATAGTTTACTTATTATAGGTGGTAGCTCTGTTATTCACCTTGCCTGATAATATTCAAATAAACAAGAATGAGCATAGTCAATATTTTTCACAGCTTATTTTGTTTTTATGGTATCTACATCTAGTTAATCCAGCTAATGGGAAACCATCATTCTATTCTCAAAAGCGAAAATCAAAAACTTTCTTCAGGAATCATTTTAGAAAGCTAAGAAGGATCATCTTACTTTCAACAGAACAGTTTACCTGTACTAAGGATACCTCTCCCTAGAAAGATAAGTGTAATTATATCAGGTGTCTTAAAGTTTATGAATGGTTTCAAAAGTACTCCAATGGCCTCACTAGTATTGTCTGTTCAGTTTTAAATACCCTTTTCTCCATTCTTCAAACTATTCTCTCCCTTCCAGATCCAGCCCAGACGCCTCTTGATGCACTCCATGTTATTAGAATTCATCATGTCTGCTATATTTTTTAATGCATTTTATTGAAATATAATTTATGTACAGTGAAATACACAAAACTAAAGTGACATGGGTCAATGCTTTTTTTTTTTTTTTTTTTGG